GTTGGTATAATGGATTCTTTGTCTGCTGGAGTCTAAATCCCAGCCTTTTTAAAACTGTTGTGGCCTTTCTTATTTAGACTTTCAGGAAATACTGTTGGAAGAGAAAGAATAAAATCATTGAAGTGGTCAGATGTTTTCAACTGATGTAAAAAGTAAAAAATGGCTAAATTGGAAAAGTTGAAGTCTGCTGGGGAGATGTATGGCTAATACTCTGCATCCCTGTCGTGACCTCACTGCCTTTCAGACAGGACAAAAAAGTAAATGATCATTTCTCTGCTCTTTAACTAGTGATGGTGAATTGACACTGGATAATAAGGTATGTGTTAATTATCTGTTAATTATCTGTTAGTTATCGCTTGATGAAACTTGAAATTACTCAGGCACTCCTTTCCTAGTAGACCTTTTCATTGTTGATTATCACAAAAAAGTTTGGAGAGTGAGCCTTGGATTATTACCTGCCTCATTTTCAGTGCGTCTAGCAAAAGAATCTCTGCCTTTTTGCACAATTGTGTTTTTCCTGAACTCAATGGCTTAGGGAAATATTTATGAGAATGGCTTCTTGCTTCAGCTATGTTTACATTGCAATTTTCCGACATACAAAATTTGTTTCAGCCAGCGTCAAGAAGGAAATCCCCCCCAACAGCCGTATGTGTCGGTTCTCCCTAGATCATTTTAGCATGTAAGCGTAAACATTAGCATTCATAGCTCACCACTGCTGAAATAAGCAGCATGAAAGTGTTATAATGGATCGTGAGGCACCTGTCAAACAAAATCCAGAAGAAAAATGGCCAGAGCCACTGGCAGAAACGCTGGATAAAGAGCTCATTTGGACTTCTGTTGGAGCAACACTGACTTTAATTTTCTCTCTGTCAGACTAAATATACTCTGGTATAAATACATTTACAAACAGTTGCCAGTGCAGAAGACTTTATTTAGTATCACATCTTTACAACAAGGTGATCACTGATTTTTGCATGAGGAAAACATCATGGCTTGCTAGATAACAGACAGAACAGCTGGATGAACAAACAGAATATGCTGGACATGCAAACCAGATGTCTTACTGAAATACATTACTTTAACAGTAATTCTGGGGGTGTGAAAAAGTGAATGCAGATTTGTTGTCCGTCAGCATAATTACGGAGCATTCTGTTGTAGGGCTATTTTCCATTTTACCATGCAGCTCGTCTGGTCTGGTTTTGCCAATCCAGTTCCGAAAACTGCAATCCCTCAGATGAATAGGTCTTCTCACACAGGGCTCTGAAGGCTGGTCTTGACTGCTGGTTTGCTGGTCTCTAATCTGAACAGTGTGCAAGAATAGCTCACTGCCATTTGAATTATGTTTCTATTGGATGGTTTGTATCCATATATAGTTTTGTAACTTAATTCCCAGTCCTGTATGTCTAAATTCTGAGCTAATGCAGAACGCAGTGTGTGCCCTTTAGCTTGGAAAAGCATGTCCAAGAAGTTTGAGTGGTGGACCTATTCAAGTGGGTGGAGAACATAACTTGTCCCAAACCTGTGATAAAATCCTTTATTGGCTATTAACTTCTTTCTCCAGCTGCCTATATTATTGCTTTATGTTATGCATTTTGTGTGAGGCTAATTTCAGGACCTTTAATGCCTCATCTGCAGCTCAAATTTAAACTCACACAAGATGCTGCCCTGAAGTGCCACCGTGTTTAAGATGCATGTGGCCTTTCTGTCTGTGTCCCATTCACTCCACTTCCTCCTCTTTTGACTGACTGCAAACACAGTTGCATACCTAACATGAAGAAAAAACAAGTCCCGTGGTACTTTATGGATGGAAAGAGAAGGTGGGGAAGTGTCTGTTGTCTTAAATTGTGTGCTGTTCATATGTACACTTTGAAATGCCATTCCTTTCTCACACATGCATCTTTATGACTTCATATCCTTCGGCCTCTATTGTAGAGACAGACTGTGTTTGCATTACAGGAAGCCCCTTTGACCCCAGTGAAAACAGAGAGTTTTTTCAACCTTATTTGATGAGCTTAAATGGCTCTGTCAATGATGGTTGCTCTTCAGTATAACTTACTAGGTAGCCAGGGGAAATGTGTGCAGTTTTACTAACTTTTACCATCCCGACTGCTTTTCTGTTCTAGTTTACGTTGCATTTACCCCAATAGGTCTCTGTACTTTCATCCTCGGGGACTTTTTGTTATCTCCCAAATACTTTGTTAACACTTTGTTCTCCTATATAAACACAGAGAATTAGTGGTTGTCCGAAAAATCCCTTGTTCTTAATGTAAAGGTCATGTGGTCAACATGCATTGTGAAATGGGTCATATGCTTTTGGAGTATGTTTTTCTTTTCCAATTTTTTAAGATCAATGAATAAAGGAGGATGCTGAAGAAACTATTTTCGGAATTTCCTGCACACTTAAACTACCACAGAATGCTTGTCAGAAACTACCAGTAGGACTTAAATGCCCCATAGAGTGGAGAGAGTCTGTAATTTATCACCATCCATCTCAAATTGTTTTAAATGGAAGCCTGATTTTACAGCTGGTGTCATATGTTAACGAGCACATTTTATGGTGGAAGTGATGGAGGGTCACCCCACCTAAGAATTAACTCCCCATGTGGCTTAGTGGCTAATTTCCTATAGAAGTTCAGTATTGGATGGTTTAAATAGAGTCACACAGTTGGGCCTAACAGGACCAAAAGCGGAATTAAGTTTTCTGAGGAATGAGCACTCACCCAATTTTATATACACTTGGGATTTAGAAGCTGGGGTTACTTCTTAAGTTAAAGATTCCATGTAATCATTTCTAACTGGTTGATCTCATTAAAATAGATTCCATCCATTTTCTTACTCTCTCCTAACTACAAGATGACAATGCCCCTGTGTCCAAATCTAATACAACTGTATCGTGTAAAAATGCTGATGGTTCATAGAAGGGTCAGTGGAATTAAATTAATTGAGTGGTGTCCTGTTTCGCTAAAGTGGACTCATTAACTTTGTCCCTCATCACTGCAGGACTTTGAGCAGACTGACAGCGCTGATGTGTCTGTTCAAAAGCTGGGGGTGAAAGGGGGAAGCTGGATATATTCTGGATGCCTCTTGGAACAAGACTTATCTCTCCCAACCATGTAAAGAGGAGGATTCTTTTGGGCATTGTGTGCTGTAATACCATTGGCCACATTTATATTATTAGTTGTATTACAATTATAACCCAAATTGGTCTTTATTCTGGGCAAGAGGAAAAAAAAACATCATTGCTTTTTTTAAGGTCCTTCACACAGTCCAAAGAAAATTGACCTTTGGCAATCATGCAGGTGCGTATTCTTTGTTGGTTCTTGTCTTGGCCCATGATGGATTTACAACAGCTAAAAGGGTTTAATTGAAAAAGAGCTAACGTTTAATTCCTCAGTATAAGCCTGGTTTTCAGATATTATTACCTTTTCCCTCACATCTGGACAATGTGTTTAGGCAGACGTCCATGCAAAATTGTGCCAGTCATTTATTTGAGAAACAGTATTTTAGAGAAGCTGTCTGCCAGAACAGACAGATTTCAACCTGTTTCCTTTTCACTGTCTGCTCCTGTGCGGTGATAGTCTCTATATTTCTCTTCAGCTTCACAAGATGGAGATCTTTGAAGAAAAAAAAGATGGAAAAGGACAAGATTAAGCTTTATTTGACACTATAGAACATTCCTTGGAATAGGATGAAGGGATTTGATGTGTCATAACTCAAACCTCCTATTCAAAGGCATTGTTCCTGTCCTGCCCTGCATACATTGCTAGATCAAGGTTCTCTGAGTCCATTGTGGGTGTGGCATAGGAGATCTTCCACTTATGGGACGTGTCTCTTTGCTTACTGTGAAACTGTGTGTTTTTCTTTCACACTGACCAGTGAATTAAGAATAAATAGAGTGGGTTAAAATATGCATGAGCCACACACAGGTGAGAAGGATGTTGCAAATCAACTATCCAAACAAACAGAAAAGCCAGACACTTGTCACTTCCTCAAGGAGTTTCCTTTCAGTGTACCTTGAGAAATGATCTGTTATGTGACCAACTGCACGTCACCAGATAGTACACATGCCATCCTTTGGAATGATTGTGTCGACACACCAGTCATGCAAATAATCTAGACTTGTGCTAAGGCACATTTCCATAAAGCAAGCGAAAAAATCTCTGTTGGAATTTAAAGAGGAAGTGGAACGAATAAAGGTCCATCTTTCTGGCAGAGCGGACTTTGAGTCTGGAGTGAAACCTCATGCTTTTTTATTGACTTACTTTCTTACTTCTTACTTTAGGCATAAAAACTGCCAAGTTTAAAAATGAGCAAAACGATGATAGCTGTGGTCAACTCTTTAAAGCTTCTTACCTATGATGGAAACTGAACTGATTTGAGTGATTCTCATAAAAATAAAAAAGAAACTAGCTTTAGCAGGAGGCATTTATGCATGATTTCAAGAACCAAATAGAGCAGCGGTCAGACATAAGCGGGAGGAGGGGGGGTTTGGGTGTGGATGTTAACCAAAGCCGTTGTTGGGATATTTAATGACTGACCGCAGAGAGGCAAGAAGGAGGTCCATTGTGTCCGGCGCTTTAGCGACGCACATGGCATCGCACACAGGAGCAAGGCTTTGATGTACAGCTGCTACTGGAACAGATGGAGAGGGAAGAAAAAAATGGATACAAAAAAATCTTACTCTTAAGGGATTAAATCTACTTTAGGAGATGGGAGAAGAGCACAAAAGGAGCAGAAGAAAAAAGTTCAAACTTAACTTATTTTGCTTTTCAATCTCATATAAGGTTCTGTCTTTTCTTGCAGGTACATTGATAAGTCAAAACAGAGAGTGAAAGGGAGTCATGAAATGATATTAGCTGCCAGCCCCCCCCCCACCACCACCACCACCCTCCGCCCTTGCGCAGCAGGCTGGAATTGGGGTGGGATATGCAAATTCGGGCTGTCCGCCTGCCTGCCCCTTCAGAGGCAGCAGAGCTGCACGCTGCTTCTTGCACACACACACACCCTCACTCATGCCGAGTGCAGATTGCTTGGAGGGTGGAACCTCGTCGGCAGGTCTCAGACACGCTTTCTTGTGTGTGTATATGGAGCTGAAACTTTAGACTGCTCACACTCTTTTCTCCCTCATTCTGTCCTCCGTCCTGCTCTCCTCTCGTTCCTCTCCCCTCCTCCAGCACACCTTTGTGTTGTTTTTCTTACCCTCATTCTTTCCCCTTCCCTTCCTCTGCCTCACTAGATTTTTATTCTACTCTGTCCTATATGGTCACATTTCGGGTTACTGCGAACTCTGAAAGTGTAGGGGACAAGATGCTGCTGATGCTAAAGCTGTTTGGGCTCCACATCTCCTTCAGGGCCAACTGAAGAAAACAAGACTCCACGTGTGACCGGGAACAGCTCTATACCCCGAGGAAACTTAAAGTACTGCCTTTTAACCTGTTTTCATCACCAGGCCCCTTACATTTCGAGACTGGAAGTAATCAAGCTTCTCAAGGCAGAAAGAAATAAAAAGAAAAAACAATGAAGACCAAGCTGTCCAAACTTACTGCTTATTTCTTTCTCTTGGGGGTGTTGCTCTCTGTGGTGGACTGTAAAGGAACTTTATATGGAGGCCATCTCAACCCTTTTTATGGAAACAGATACAATCTCTACAAGGCTGGACTCAACCCTCACTACCCACCAAACAAGCCTATGACCCGTCACAAGTAAGTGCTGTCTTTCGAACACTAACATGCCCTTTATTTTCCTTTCCAAGATTTCTAAAAGGGAATGACAAGAGTGCAAACTGCACCCCAGCTCATTCTGTACAGAACTTGGAAAACCCATGCCACTCGCAGGTTTCAGAAATGTGGTTTTGGTTAGGAAATCTGCTTGGTAATGGATCCCTGAAGTGACGCTCTGTTTCTTGCTTACTAGAAATCAACCATATTCCATAGTTCACACCTAAAACCATCTGTGGTGGGAGAAAAACATTAAAGAGCAACCGTGGCATGCTACATAACCTAAACAAATCTGTCATGGTCTTTATGGTGTGGCAGTGTTGATGACAAGGGTGTTGATCCCACTTTGATTTTATGTGTGTTTTGTGTGTGTGTGTGTGTGTGTGTGTGGTAGGAGGGGTCTTGACAGTACAGCTGGGCACCAGAAGCTGTCAGAAGGGAGTGGCACATCAATTTCCAATCAATAATAAAGCACATACACACTGATCACATGCTTTTTCTTCCTCTGTCTCCTATATTTGGCAGATAATATCAGTGTCAAAAGTCAAACTTTTAATGAAGAATAACAGCATCAATCTGGGTTCATGATATCAAATCGCATAAAGCTTTTATATTAAACAAAGTTTCATTGATATATTTTGCCCTGATGATGACAACTGGTTGGTCTATGAGGCTCCTTTGGTTTTTCCTTTCTCTTTCCTCCTCCCCTTCTCTTTTGCTTGGCTTCCCATGAGAGCTATTATGCCTTTGGACAGCTCCCCAGCTACCTGCTGCTCCGCTCAAACTGCCACATGAGAATGCTGATTGCAGAGGCCTGCTTAGTCTGTCATGTAGGCTCACCTCCTCTGAATAGACTGCTCAGCATCCTTCATCTTGAAATACAATGTCCCCTATTGCTCCTCTCCTTGAGCTTTCCCAATTCAAAATCTTGCTGTGTTTAATTCACCCTTTTTCCGTCTTAAGTGTTGTTAACTGTGTTGCAGTATGTTAATATGCAACGTGTTCAAGCTCATAACCAAAGACAGAATACCTATCAGTTACTAACTGAAAGTCATTTACTTCAAAGTTATATAAAGATATTTGTCTCAGCCGAGTCAAACATCCTTTTGATCAGCCACTTTTGAATGGTCACATATTCTGGACATGTGGCTGTATACATGTAGAGGTACAAAACCACACATTTAACAGTGACCAATATCCAGATTCTCAGAAATAGAACATTTTTAGAAAGTAAAATGATCCCACTCTCCCCAGGTATAAACAGTGTTTTTTCTAATGAACTCTATGACCTGCAACTGAAGATTTAAATTCACAGATATGAAAATCATACCAAATGTTCTTATTATAATACTAGCATTAGTCAATTTAAAATATAAATAACTGCACTCAAATATAAAATTTATTTGCTTTTCTTGACAGTATTTCCAAACTACTTCCAAAGCTGATTGACAATTTTTTAGGAGAAAACTTGGGGGGACCCAAGATCACTGTCAGGACAAAATATAAAGCAAATATGAAACTTTAGTGCAACCACACTGATATTGTGCTATATTTTTCTTCATGTCACCTGCAAACGTTTATGCTTGAGGCATAGAGACATAAGACGTATAGGTAAATAAGACTCCAACTCCAGTGTTTACCCTGAAGCTGCTAGACAACTGGACCCTTGAGCTGTGTCAGTGTCAGACCTAGCTTAGTTGTTGCCAGAATGAAAACACAGAGACAACACACACACACATTGACCGTTGTATACAAGTGTGTGCACAGGTATTGGGAGATAAACAATATAAAATAACATTAGTATGCTGCAAAACCAAAAAATCTGTTGTGGTCTTGATGGCAAAGTATGTGACAAAAGAATCGATCCCTCTTGGTTTTGTTGTGTCTGTGTGTGTGTGTGTGTGTGTGTGTGTGTGTGTGTGTGTGTGGTAGGAGGGGGGCTGACAGTACAGCTGGGCACCAGAAGCTGTCAGAAGGGAGTGGCACAAGTCATCTTTTACAGTGATTATGTGTTTTTTTTCTTGTTTTCAATGAGATGTTTAAGCTTTCTTGGGTGCCATTCTAACACAATTTGTCGTTACGTTTAATTATCATCTGTGGTTTTAATTCCACAGTCATTCCATTCATTTATTACAAACATACACTATAGTAAGAACATGTCAGACTTCTTAAAATCCCGAGCCCTGTAGTGTTCAGATAACTTCTTTGTGGATATTTACCTATATGTAAAACTCCCAGGTGTAATGTAGGGAGTTACGTTTTTGCAAATTATGCTTTGGCAGTAAGCAGAAACAAGCTTCTCAGTAACTACGTTATCTATGTTCCACAACCCAAATGCAAAGTTAGAATTCTATCTTGGATCTGACAAGAATCTTTAATATAGCAAGTCACTGACCAACAGGGGACGTGCTGATGAATCCAGGATAAATATCTTCAGGAAATAAGTTTAGTTTAGCGAGGCCACGTGTAACCATTGATCAGATTAGAAATGTATTTGAGGGATTTTCTGTGATGTATGGGACAGAGATCAAGGGGGAGAGGTCAGTATGTTGATAGAGGTTAAAGGTTATGGGTTGCTCTTGTAAGTTTGTAGCGAGTGTCCAGTTGAGGACAGGAATGGAGCCAGCCTCCTGCTAAGAAGCACAAAGCCTGAGCAATAAACTCCTGAGCACCCTATATCTAAGTTATCTATCAAACTGAATACTCTAGTGTGTTTCAATAACAAATAGAGAAGTTTTTTTTTTCTTTTTTGTTTCCTAATGTGTTGAACTAAATGTCAAAATACTGACTCCAATCAAAGTTCTATGGAAAGTGGTGATGCTGCACTCACTTAACAAAACTATATTCAACAGCTACCATTCAAACATTTTACCTCGAATTGTGGTTTCTGTGGCTGCTGCATCATTTTGCACACAGTGACATTCCTAGTATATTTCAGGTTTGTGTTGGCCTGTTCTGTAGATACAATATACTGAAGATCATAGAGGCATCTTCAAGGTTGGGTACAACTCTTTGCTTATGAGCAATATTATTCATTCATGAATAATTCTGGCTGAGAGACTACTATTACTATAACTACTAAGATTTTGATATCAACTGCACCGTTATGGGAAGTCTGGAGTTTAGAAAAAGAACATTTCAATCCACCGAAAATAACTTCATACTTCAACAGGATACTCATCTTTCATAGTTGTTGAAAAGTTTTAAAGGTAAATGTTTAAGTGTTTCTTTGAGTGAGCATTCTCAAGTAAAATCAAACAAAGCTTGCTGGGTCTCCTTTCTTCAAATATGCTTGGCAAGAAGTATCCATAAAAAGCCACCTTCATTTTATCACTCAGACTTGTTTGGTGTATTTTTATTTTATCTTCCTGCTACACTATACAAAGCTATTGAGGTTATAGGCTTAGCTTTAATAGTAATGTGTTGTACTTGCTGAAGGTGTACAGTATGTGGTGTGCAGTAGTTGCAGTGAGTCTAACTCACAACACTGTTTCAAGACTCTTATTACTGAAGCGCAGAGGAAAAAGCAGATTATATGATTTAGATAATTCCCAGGGATAAGTGAAGTTGCATTCTTTCAGCAGAGGTATTTCAGCCTCTTCCTGTGAATCATAAACAAACAACAGATGATCTGCCTGAAGGTGTTGTGTTGTTCTAGATTTCAATAACTGATAGTTATTGAATTTTGTCCAGAATCAACACATTTTACATTTACAATGAGCAGAGCAGGGCAAGTTGGCTTTGGTGACATTTTTTTTTGTTTTAAGCATTAAGGTCTAAGGTCATAGAGCTAGGGGGTCTTTAATCCTGATCATGACCTACAACAATTTAAATGTACCATCTTTCAAGATACACACATCCTTTAGATTGTGAATGGGCAGAGATGAAGCATGAGTAGAGTTGTTAACCTAAAAATGCTTCTTACGTCTTCATGGTTTGTACCTGGACCACATAAATCTGCCGGGGCTGACAGCTGTGGCCTGGGTTCAAACAGTCAGGGACCCCTGCAGGTGAGAGTGTGGCTTTTAATGAGAAAGGTGAGTCATTTAATGCTGCAGTGTCAAAACAAACCAGCCAGTGGAGGGAACATTGACGAGGCAACACAGAGGGGCTTCATGAAATATCAACAAAGGGAGAAAAATAGATAATATTAGAAACACAGGCCAAGGCACGACTGGTATGCTTAGATAATTAAACAGAGACAGTCTGCAGGTTTAGTTAAAGTTAAAGAGATAGCAAAGTTGTGAGAATGGTGATAGAAGGATTTTGAGTTCAGATAAGGGTGGACGGGTAATGTGACAAAAAACTCGGCTCGTGATAATCTGAGATGGGGATTCTACTTTCCCTCTGGGAGGCTTTGATACGGCACCTCTACACTGGACGTATTTCCAGTGACAGCAGAGCAGGGGTCATAAATGCCATGCCCTTCTAACAAAAAACGATTGTATTTTGAGACCTAAAGGTGAAGCATAGGTTTATTTTGCTTGGAGGAGAAAGAGATTAAAGTCAGGTATGGAGGTAGACTGCAGAATTTAACACATGCAAGAGTTGGAATCTGTTGGGATTGGGTGGTAATTGAGAGTGTGGGACAATTTTCAATTCTAAGAATTAAAAAGGTGTTTTGGCTGAATTTCGGCTTCAGCAAAAATTAAGCTTGTAGAGAATTAAGTGCCATCCAGATGTGAAGTTGCAGATTGCAACCATGAGAAAAACCCTCAACTAACCATCTCGTTTCAACAACTATTGTTTGGTTTTCTTTCCTGGGGGGACTATTTGAAGAATGACACAACAGGGAAGCCGGATATAAAGAGTGCAGCTCTGGGACGGGACAAGGATATTTCTCCTGGGTGCTACATATGAAAATATATTGCAGTAATGTGTGTTATTTGCCATTGCAAGTTGTTTTTAAAAGCGCGTCATAAATAAAGTTGTCTTGACCTGGGGGACTTTTATTGTCTTGCTATCCTGTGTGGCCGGCCATCCCACCTTTCACGCATCAATGCTTCAACAAACACAGCACAGTGTTTGTATTTTCCAACGCAAGTCTCCTTGTGCCATGTTGGTTCAGAAGTTCAGAAGTCTGGAATAAACTATCTCTCCGTCCTGTCCTTTTCCCCTTTCTCTTACTCCTTTGATCTCAGATCATATGGACACTGACTTCCTTATTATTTTTCTCAGTGCCCAGATTAGCATTGCCTTCTCCCAGCTGGGGATCCTAGACACAGCCAATGCAAAGTCCTCTCTTATTCTGTGACAGCTGGACACGAGTCTGACGATAAGGAAAACTGAAGACGGTGCTTGCCTATAAGCACTTTCACATCTTGGTGTCAAGTTTTTGGCAACAGGTTCATGTAGTCTGTACACGATTAGACAAGTTATCATAGCCTTTCAAGTTGAAATTTAGCAGTCATCTGTCTAAAGTCTGTTTTTACACAGTAGATGAGACAACCTTCAGTTGCTTGAATGAGCACTGGAACGCAAAGGCTAAGGATTGATCCCAGAACTTCTGGATTTCAGAACATTCAGTTTTTGTGTATGAGCCTTAAGGTCTCAGTTGACCACATTGATCACTCACCTGACTGATCCGCCCCATGCAAAAGTGTGTGAGGATGGTCACACAAACTGTATTCAGTTCACACGTGCACTATGGGCTGTTCTCTGTCAGAGGGATTTTCAAGCTACTTTGTCTACTTTCACAAACTCAAAAAACAACTTGTAAAGCTATCTGATCCCTTCAATAAATGATTATTTTCATGAGTAGGAAACCATTGCCAATTAATCTGATTTTGATTATGTGATACATACTATGGTGTTGACTCTACAAATGTGTTTATGTTTGATTAAAAAAAAGAAGGAAAAAAAGACTTATAAAGAAGAAAGATTTCTGGCTCTGCATTTTCTCTGGAGCATGTGGTGCAATAGATGACAGCAAAGGGAGCAATAATGTTAAACTCTCAGAGGGACAGTAAAGAAAAGTACCTGCAGGCTGAAAGGAAAACATAATGGGAACAAAAATACAAGCTGTATTGTAACATTAAATCTGATTTCCTTTTAATGAAAATATTTCAGAGCGGTTTGTGTTTTCAGTTTTCATTTCATGTACCTTGAAAGCATCATGCGGTATGTCCTGCCAGCCAGATTTGCTTGTTATTCTTTCACTAAGAAAATCAACGTAACTAAGCAGCTGCAACTACATGCGTGAGCTTTTGGTGCTCTAAGAGCTCCCCTCATTCCACATCAGATCAGCTCATAACTATCACTTTCTTAAGTATACCTGACCTGGCAGCAGGTTGTCAAGTTGGTATGAAAGGAGCTCTGTGATTCTGGCTCCTGCCCCTGTTCCTTTCACGACTAACAACATATGTCAACACGGGCAGAGGGGTGGCACACACACAATCTCTGTCAACACGGTGGTTTGCAGTGAGCTGCAGCCAAGCTTTCTCTGCTGGATTACAGCAGACTGTCCACCCTGTTAGCACTCTGAACCTGTTAACTTGACCCTCCTGAGCCCTCTGTCACGTCCTGCTGCATCCAACACTACTATTTGTCCTAAAACAGCTGTGGAGCAACAGTAAGTACCGCATGTGCAGCTAAATGCTCCCCACTGAACGTAGGAAATGCTTCACATGTGAGCCTGAAATATACAGATGATCATTTCCTGTGTTGCATGGAGGCAAGCTGAACATTTAGCAGTTGCTATAGCTGCACTGGCAGGGAAAAAGAGAGGGGAACAGAGAAGGTCCAGGTCCAGCATGATGCAACAAGTAGTTACAGAAAACTTATTGTGCTGGACTCTGGATTTCGAACAGTTTCGGAAATCACTGCAGTCGGTTATATTTGTTTGGGCTGCATAACTCTTCTTACGTAAAGCAAGCACACTCTGTAACACCAGAAAATCACCATAGAAAAGAAGGAGAAACTTAAAGTTACAATTGTGCCAAAAAGGCCATAGTCCAAAAGCAGACTGTGTAGAGAATAGTGGACATACATAAGAACACAGGGGCTTCATATTCAGCCAGCATATATTTCAAAAGCAAAGAATTCCATCCTTCAGCTCCGGGCAGTATAGGAGCTTTAGAGGCACATATTACTGACTACGAATGAGGTTTGCGGCATCCATGCAGTTGTTTAGAATAAAAGTGATATTTAAGAATAGGAAACAGGGCATTCTTACTGAGCCCCTGAGATGTGTATAGCACAATAAGGTTAGCATAGCCAGGAGTTCAAAACCTAAAAGCCCTAATCTGTGCTTTACAAACTTTAGTATTAGCAGTGTTATATAAATTTGGCAGCAAATCAAGAATAAAATCAAATGTGTATTAATTTTTCATCACCAACTGGACACCTGTTAGTTACTTTGTTGTTTAGTAATATGAGCAGGGACTAAATCTTTTTAAGTTCTTTTGATTGGATTTGACTGACTGTGATATAATTTGAATGAAGATTAGTTGGAGGGTCCCTTGTTTTTCAAAGTTGAGGTTATGCAAGTTATGTTTGTGTTTTTAAAATGTATTTCTACTTCATTATTTTGTTTAATAATTGCATAGAGAATTTTGATACAAGTGAGGAACATTTACTCATTGTGTTTCCATTCCGTAGTCATCTCTATGTTTTGTTAAAAGGTTTCTGTAAAGTGCCAGGTTTTCTGAAATGTTTTTAGTCTTTGCAACTTAGGGCTGGTGTAGCTACTTTATTTCATTTTTGACAAGTTATACATATACAAAATGCTTACAGTAACGTGGATCCTTCCTGGGGTCAACTTATTTCAATATTAAAAAGTAGATCTGTTCTAATATATAAGAATAGCAACAAAGATTAAAACTAGCAGATAATTGTCAATTTTATACACATGGCTGATGAACATGTGACAACTGCTGCCCAACAAAGCAATGTCTTTGTGTATGCTGATTACATTCCAGGATTTTTTTTATTGCCACCATCCGCTTATTGACGCATTGGTCACTGTTAATCTAATTTTATGGACTTTTCCAAACAAGGTCCGTGAGACACAGTGAAAGCATTACAGACAGGTTGGGTGGTAAAATGTAGACATGTGTTTGAGTGCTTACACTTGCTTAACTCAAACTGTTTTCCCGCCCACAGAAACCACTGTGCCTATATGGTCCAAAAGAACGTCACGTGTGTGATGCAGGACGGAGTAGAGACCTATGTGAAAGCCGAGTACACTGTCAAGTGCATCTGGGGTCAGAAGTGTCCTGTCGTCATGTAAGTCACGTGGGAGAACTAAAGGGAAACAGTGAAAAAAGGACCTTAATTCAAGGGGGTGAGGTTTAAAATGTGAAATTAGGAATTCACATTCATCTTTCTTACATTATGGAGCTAATTGCTAGACATTGTACATGTTAGTGCTGCCCTCTAGTGGTCAGATTATTTTCTATTTCTGTAACCCTGGCTTCTCATTACACTAAAAGTTCTAAAAACATAAGGATGTATGTAAATAAACTGATAAATTCAAATGAAAAAAATATTTTCAAATGAAAATGCACAGATTATCGTCTATATTTATTATTTGCTTTCAATGCTAAATTTACAATCTTGCATTTTGTTTTTGTCGAACAAAAAAACTCTTTTTGTCAACAATATTGAAACTGGTTTCCATTTTATCTATCTAACACCCTTTTCAAAAGCCCCCAAATAGAGGAAATTTGGATTTAGGATAAATCTCCTCCAGTGGGCGTGTGCATACATACATACATAGGGAAAGTGGGGAGTTTAATTTAAACAAGATAATAGTGAAGTCAGGTTCTGACCCGGGTTCAATCCTCTGACGCCTCAGCGTTTACTTCACACTTTAGTTTAATCTCCTAATCTTCCTTTAATCCCAGATGAATCCAAAACAAAACACCTTCATCCCCTTTTGTCTGCTCTGCATTCTCCGCCCATCTGCCTTTGTGTTTTAAGTTAAAACATTTTCAAACCCTCTAAACCATTTTTTCCCATTTTATTTTAGGTATAGGACATTCTTCAAGCCCAAGTACAAGGTGGGTTATAAAACAGTGACTGAACTTGAATGGAGATGTTGTCCTGGCCTCTCTGGAGAATCGTGCCATGATGGATCCACATCCCTGCCTGACATCCCTGGTGTGGGCTTACCTCATCGGCCGGGTGTGAAAGGCATCCCATATGGTCCAAGACCCCCTGTGGACCAGAGGCCTGGAGGCGGCCAGCTGGAGCCTGGTAAACCTTTCCCAGGCATACCCACAGGACAGCTGCCCACAGGAAGTGCAAAGCCCAACTATGGTGAGAACACATTGTACCTGGGACTTGTTTGGCCTTCAGCGTGCATGTGCATAAGAGCAACTGCCCATTTCCCTGTGCAAAACTTATTTACAAAGTTTGTCTATATCCTGTGTTGCCTTATTCCTTATATATCAGGTAGCAAATTTGGCATCACTGGTGTGACTGGTGAACGTCTGGACCGTATGGAGGAGGACCTGCGTCGCCTCACCCAGGGTCTGGACAGCCTCAATGGGGTCGTGGCTGGCCTCGAGGATCGCCTACGCACTACTCTCCGGGAAGACACCAATAAAATCCTCGTATCGCTTCTGCCCGGCACTTCCCGTGTGCATGACTCTACAGTGGGATTTGGGGTAATCCCAGATGGCACCCCTGATGGACTGGAGGGAGAAGAGACCTTCACCGGATTTGGAGACCTCGCAGGGAGGGTGACAGAAGTGAGGGATGAGCTACGAGCCAAGACTCATATATTAGAGGAGATTCAGGTACTTGGAGTTTTTGTTTGATGGAAGAGTTACACAGCTTGAGTAAAATTCAAGCAAATCAGACCTCAGACCTCCTGTAACTTTTTTAAACAAATAATATTTGCATGTCCATCTGACATCTGTGTTATTAGGGGATGGTTCTTGGCCATGATGGCCAGCTGAAGAGGATACTGGAGGGAGCTACGGGTAGACCTATTCCTGGCCCTGGCTCCTCTTATCTGGATGAGATCTTAGATGTCAAACTTGCGGGAATAAGGGCTGAGATCCTGGACGGTTTCGAACGTCGTCTGAGTGGCCTCGAGAGCCACTGTGATGAGAAGATGGGGCAGGTGCAGAGGCAGTGCCACAGAGAGCACATGGATGGCCAGGAGCAGATGCAGCAGTCTCTGGATGGCAGAGAAACTGGGCTCAGGGAAGAGTTGGGTTCCTTGCAAGCTCAGATTCAAGGTCTGACTCTGACCGAAAGCTGCTGTGGACAGGTATGACACAAGTAGGAGTTTAGGTTCATCAGTATACAATAGAATATTTAATTAGTCAGTCATCTTGTTTTCCACATGTAGTTATATATACAGGACTATACAATACCCAAAGCAGTAAAATGAAATGCTTTGCTGTCAGCTGGTTATGTTTATCTGAGACTGAATGCAAAACTCAATCTGATGATTGTAGTTTATCCTCAGAGGATGAACATGGACCTGATCCAGGTTAATGCGATAAACAAATGTTAAAGTACATTTCCAAAACGAGAGATACATTTGAAGACAGTAATCTAAGTTTATGCTATGAGCAAGCAGCTTCATGACATGATAATGTGTGACTGCCCACTGTTGCAGGTGAACAGCTTGTCTCAGCGCATGCTGCTGCTGGAGGAGTCGGTAAAAGGTCTGACGGAATCTCAGAGACAGCTCCAGACAGCGGTCTCAGAACAAAGCATCCATATAGAAACCCTCATCGAGACACGCCTGGTCGACATGGAGGGCAGGCTCAATGCTACCGCTGGGGGACCTGATGGAGTTTTCCCTGGTGGTCTGGACGGCTTCAAGACGACTTTGGAAGACAAGCTAAAGACCCTAGAGGAGAAGGTGTTTGTGGCCGTAGAGGAACTGAGTAATGCCACTGCCCCAGCTCTCCTGGAGGGTCAGGTGGTCCCTGCATTGGAGACAGAGATTGAGTCCGTCAGGAGGAGGGTGGAAGGAGACTTGAGTGGAATTCAGAAACAGTTGCTGGACCTTGAGCTCCTCTGTACGTCTTCTTGTGCAGCCTCGACCCCACCAGCAGGGGGTGTCAGTGATGGGGAAGTAGAGAAGGAGTGTGAGGGGATGGAGAAAAAATTAACAAACCGTTTGGACTCCCATTCTAACCAGCTGGACCACCTTAACAACACACTGAAAAACTTGCTCCTTCGGATTGCACAGGAAGAAACAGAGGGATCTGTCCAGGGAGAGATTACACTCCTTAAGGTCAACATCAACTCAGTAAACCGCACCCTGAAAGGCCTGAAAGACTCTATAAGTTTCATCACAACTGAAGTTGGCCACGCTAATTCATCATGGGGGCAGAAGGAGCATCAGCTGGTTAACCAGGTGCAAGGAATCACCAGACTCATGGGTCACCAGGCTTCCCTTCTTGGAGCCAGCGAGAGGCGGCTGGCCCAGCTGAAGGGGGAGCTGGCGGCTCTGAAGAGACAGTTGGTCGGGGGGCTGCAGGGGTGCCGCAGCACAGCAATGGAGGTTCAGAAGGAGGTGAAGGTTGTTGGCAGCAGGGTGAGCCAGGTAGAGGGCCAGTGCAGCACCCTGGGGGAGCTGGCAGAGCACCTGGAGAGGATCAGGGCAGAGCTGGAGAGACATTCTGACACCTACCTGGCTCAGGCGAATGGCACTCTGGCCGTTCATTCAGAACAGCTATCTGAGCTGAATGGGGAAGTCAAAGGTTCCGTGAGCAAGGGAGCTGACAACCACAAAGGAGACCAGTAGCTTTTGCGCTACAGATTTTGAAAACAGACTTACTGTATGTGTAATTCTAATTAAGCTCAAGTGTCCACCTTTGCCTCTCTCTCTTTTAAAAAAAAATGTGGCCAACACAGATGCAAATAAACTCAAATAGTGAAAGTCATCTCTTATAAGGCTCTTGGCCCAATGCCTCCAGATGTGCTGGTTTTTACTTATCCTAGTGGTGTGAAGAAAGGCAGAATATAAAGACATGCCTATGGTTGTATACCCCATAATTCACCTTGTTCTATACATTTCTTTCCCCCTTGATTATGTTTGTAAGTCATTTTACTTTTTAACTTATATGAAGTGACTGCATTGTAATGATGTTAAATTGTTTGTATTGGAGAAACGAAAACGAAACAAAATGCTGCTACGAGTTTCTTCTGACAAGAATACTCGACATCCTCTTTGTGGTTACTAGTTTGGTCTTTTTAACAAATACTGTATGTCAACTTGGTGCTATTTACATTTTTGTAAACTTTTGTTTGATGATTTTAAGAATGACATATAATTATGCTCTTCTGTACTTGCTGTCGCATTTCTCCAGCTTTCATGATGATTCACTATTGGGAGACAATAAGAGTTCATTACAAGGCACGGTAGATGAGAAAGAGAAATAAAATCTGAATGGTCAGACTGGTACTCAGAATGGAAATGTTTGTGCTTTTTTTTTAAAATCCATGTGCACGTCCCACATTTGGAAAGAGAACTCTTTCAGTTGAAATCAATGCAGTCACCATGTATACTGAGTTAAACATAAGCTTATTTTAGAGTTATTATTGTTGTTTGAATGAGTCATTTTTTGTTTATTTATGAATACACTGATTTCAAGTATTTTCTTAATGTATTGTCAAACAATAAAAGAAAGGAGGAAATAGACTTAAGCAGTCAAAGGGTTTAAAGATTATAACCTTGACTATCAATGAATGTAAATATCTAGAATTAACTTAAAACATACAAAGAAATAAACCTGCAACAAGAGAGATGCAGTATTAAACCAAAAATTCTTATGAAGGATCTCAACTGCAGATGCCGACAGCCCAGCTTGAAAAATGAAAGCTCAGCTACAATAATCCTCAGACAGGTGTAGGAGAGAAACCAGTAAGGTCTAAGTATTACTCATCAAAGTTTTGCCAACCTTTGGCCTTTATCACTACATTTCCCCCAAACCGTATTTGGAGAGGAAAATGCTGTGTTCATACAACAAAAAGGTCTTGAAATTTCCCTTCTCTCAACCCAAATTCAAGTAACTCATTTTCTTTTGTTTTTCCCACGGTCTACAACAGGACATATGCCCTGATGTCTAGAAGAAAACCTGATTTTCTCATGCTACAGATTGTGTCATTTCCTCTTCTGTCTGAAACATATTGTTTTACCTTGAGTCTCTGTATGGCAGCTTTGCTTGGTGATGTATTCTAGTTTTAAAAACTTTGGGTTTCACTTTACCAGAAATCTTCATAACTGCATGACAGTTTGTGGTTTAGCATGATAGGTGATCTCCCCTCCCCCAGGCCCTCTGTCTGCACCAGCAAAACGACTTCCAACCAATCTTGAAACCTAATTGACAGAAACACAGAAATGAAACAGCTCGCTTGACCCCAGGCAACCTCTATAGGGCTAAGAAAGGTTTTTAAAATGAACATTATAAGCATTAGTGTAGTTGATTGTAAATAGCGTAATTTACCTTTTTTTCACTCCTCTCCAAGAACATAAATTTGAACAAAGAAAGGAAGGATGGACAAGAGGAGGACAGACGAGACAGGATATCAGGACTACAAAGAAAACGCCATCCTTGCTGCAAAGTCTTCATTTTTGAATAACCATCACTTGAAGATGACGTGGAATACAGCTGCATCATATAACTGTTTCTTTGTAGTCTGCTAGTGTATTCTGTTCTATTGTTTTAGCCAGAAGAGTATTAAAGTTGTTTGTAAAAAATGTGTGCATTTTAATTTAATTCAATTCAGACCGGAGCTTTAGAGACCACACATGTTGAGAAGATTTTGGCTAAAGATAAGCAAATATCCCTTTTTCTGGTCTGTTTTTATCTTACATCTTAGGAATTTAAACACTCTTAAAATGCTTTGCTGTGTTTGATTTCAGATTCACAGGCAGGAGGATGGAATAATGGAGAGGATTTTATCAGCCTTGTTTAGCCTTCAGCTAAATCTTTAAAGAGTAGAAAATTAGCCACCAAGCAAGCACAATGTACGGTAAATGTTTTTCATAGCTAAGAAGATAAGTAGCATAGGAGAAGTCGGGGCTACACACGTGTTTTAGGTTGTGTGGGCTGTTTATAACTGTTTGTAACTGTTTTTAACATTGCTGGCTTCTTATATTGACCAAAAACGCTATTTATTGCAGGGGCAAACCAACTACATATCTTCTTCTTCGTTTTTCACTAAAGGGGCATTGAACCACACATTGAACCTTCAGATACAAGATTGGAATAAAAAAAGAAAAAAGAAAAACAACAACAGTATCTGAGCTGATGGAAATCTCTGTGGGTTTTAACAAAACTATGATGTAAACAACTGAGTCTTGATAATTAATAATGTCCAGAAGGACTGTGTCACAGTACTTAACAAACAAAAATAATATTTGACACACTCTTTCATTAATAACAAAACAAGTAGTCAGGTGTGCAATGTACAGGCTCAAGACAGCCAGATTTTTCATTGATTAACAGACTGTCAGCATGTAATTGGGAGCATAATTGTACCATTAATGGGTGCTGTGTAGCATATGGCTGTAGGAATCTGAGAACTGACTGCACAGCTGCCCCAGACTTAACCAAATTCATGCACAAAGTGGACTCTAAAACATTCCTGAAACAGCTTGAGAGCTGAAGTTGGAAAGGACACCAGTTCACAAGATTGTGGTCACATGAAGCATTCAGCTGACTAAGATCATTAGGTGAGGGTTTGGAAGATATTAGAGTGTTTGCAGGAACTGGCCTTGGTGGAAATGGAATGACAACGAATGAAGCTGTGGGAAATGAGCTGTAAAATTAAGCTGATCTCGCATGCCAGAAGCTTTATCAGCAGGTCTTCTGTACAGCATCAGCACATAGTTGCTTCTAAAGACAGCTCACAGTAACCACAACAGGATAAAGCAATTATAATTCAGGAAAAAGCCAGAGGATTGACTTCAGGAAAAAAGTACTGGGTTAACAAAGTGAGGGGGTCACAGGCCAATATGAGGATATGATAAAAAGACAGAGATCAGAGCTAAAAGGGGAATCTGATAAATGATAGTGATGTGGACATGAGCATGGGACAGAAGCTCTCAAGAAGAAAAAATACAGTTAGATGGATAGTGTGGGCAGAGATGGCATTGTGCTTGTCAGCTGAGGAAAAGGCAGTCTGGGAGAAAGAGCCAGGCTGGCCGAGGAGAAATACTCAAGCTGATAGACAATGATGTGATCAGAGCACGGCGGACAAAGGCCTGTGGACGATGGACACTGAGACAGGAATCACAACAGTGTGAAGGATCATGGAGCCCCTCTCAGTCACGTATCCTGACAGGAAAGCCACAGCGGCATTTTGAGAAAATACAGCCTGCTGAGACGAGCCAGCCAAAACAAGGCAAGCACCAGCAAAGTATAAGCTTAAACCCCCGAGCCTGACAGCAGCAGGATCCCCTGCCATCCCACGGGAAGCAGGACTACACAAAGGACTGTCCCGCTGGTGACCTGGAGAAGATGCAGGGGGGGGGAGGGGGAGAAATGGGAGGAAAGCACTTTGCATAGGATGGGAAGCTGGTTGCTTTTATGTTGGTTAACCTCACTACCTAAAAACATGAGTAATCATTACGTAATACCAAAACTCACAAATCCATGTGACTTCCACACATGTGCTTCATTTTTTGTCTCAACCACTTCTTTCTCTTATTGTGGCACACACACACACACACATGCAGAGACACATTCCCTCAGGCACTGCTGCTTTCTTCACCCAAGCATCTGATCTAACGAGATATGAGGACATGCGCCCTTGAAATCATGATGTCAGCACATATCTAACATTGTGTTCCAGTAAAGTTTTTAAACATTTTAAAATGTTAGATACTAAAGTCACAATGTACAGTAGATACAAAAAGGACAATATTTTTGTGATAAGCAGACATAAAAGCAGCTATTTAAAAATCAAAACATCTGTTAAGATATTCAATTCTACTAATTCAATCTGACGCAGATTGTGTACAAGCGGAGGAATGTCACTAACAGTGTTACCTTTCCTATTGAGTGCTGACACAACAAAGACTTCTATTGCCTCTAAGGTCACATAAGAATCCAGAATAACTTGAAGGCAGCAGAGCGTTTCACTAGTACATGTTTACGAAACTCAGAATGACAGTGACAGAACAACAATTGTGAAGGTGGCTTAGCTAGAAGGAAATGGGTATTATTCTCTAAAAGGAACATATGTTGCTTCAGAAAAATGAATACCAGGAAGTTACCAAGAACCACATCGGTGAAACACAGTGGTGATGGAATGATACTGAGGGCTTATGTTTCTGTTCGTTGCCGGGACAGTTTGCAATATTTCTTAGTCGTGAGGAAGCCTGGAAAATATTAAGCAAATGAAAGGATTATATCAAGATACCTGGTTTCTTCATCTGATTGTTGCAAAAACTGGCTACAATAGTGTTAATGCATGTCAAAATGGGGCAAAAACCCTGAAAAGAAAAACATTTCATGTGGGAAAAATCAACAACTAAGGTCACCAAGTACCCTTAAAAAGTAAAAGTATAATGCTTTTTTCTTTTATTTCAAGTGGTTGTTTTTTTAGCCACGTTCAGACACTTTAGAATGGTTCACAAACTTTCTTAGACTGATGGCATAGCATTGTGAGAAGCTCAAGGCTCTGGGATTGTCCTTTCTTCCCGAGTCTATGTTTAGAGGATGGACGCACAAAAGCAGTAGCAAAGGGGAAGCGATAAAGGATATAACACTATTCCGCACCCATGACAGCAAGAAATTCAGTTATTCAGCTACTCTTTGATGCAGATTTCAGTTTAAGACACCCTGTAGGGAGATGTGCAATGAAACAGACACAAGTAGTGCACAAAGGCAAAGGCACCACAGATGACATCAAAGCCTTGGAGAGGCCCAACACTCAGGAGATGCATGTGGATGAATCACAGTGGATGTGTATGTGTATCTGTAAGTGGGTGTGCTCTGCTTAGCGTCGTACTCACAAGACAAGAGAACTCTTGAAATCCTGAGAGCTGCCCTCTGTGTGCATCTGACAGCTAAGTCACACTGGTGTTAGCATACCAAAGCCTTGTGTTTCCCAGATTCCATTAAGATGTGGCTGCACCAGCTGGGCTCCTGCGCCTCTGCCAAACCACCTTTCCCTCACACACACACTGCAATTATTGCAACGCAGCGGGGAGTAAACAATTTCGTTCTTGGTAGAGACAAGTGTAGGCGTTTTACACATTTTAAAATATAGTCATAATCGTTTATGTTTATTGAGGAAACCCATGCGGGAAATGGTGCAAAAACCCTGTGTTATATACTGCGTCCATGTCCCATCTCTGCCACTTAGCATTTCCTTTACCAAGAGCATAATTAAATCATCAGCTGTCACTACCGTTAACCAGCGGAGATGCGCATCTAATGTGCTAAGTGCCACGGGGCTGGAGCTGCTCTGATTCAATGAATTTTAAGTGAACTATTGTAAAAGTATCTAATTTTGTGTGTGTGTGTGCACTTCCTTTACTAGGTGACAGGCCAGAGGATCTGAACAATCATTCTCTTTGTCTCAGAATCTGAAGTTCGACAAGCTAAATTGTCAAGATAAATAGTCTGTGAGATGTGGGAGGAATGGGAATTCAAGAAAAAAACTCTCTAAATTAGGGAAGTCTGGGCCTAATATGCTGGAATTTTGGATCACAAGAGCCACAGGCCTGGTCTCTGAGCCAAAAATAAAGACAAAAAACCTCCTTGTATTAGAGAATTGAGAGATGAAGTGATGCTTTTTACATCAAATAGTGGACCACAACATATAGTCTTCTGAGCTAACTTGAATCTGATAGCATACTTTTAAAAGATATATTAAATATTCGTTTTATAGACTAGGTATTGCATCAAATAACACAGTTCAGCGATTACTGGCATGGTTTCAGTTCATGTTTTGCATTTAGTTCCGGATAATAAATAGAAGACTAGTAATCTCTTTACAGGAAGAAACATTTCAAGCGCAGGTTCACACTCTGTGCAGTGGTTGTGTGCGATGTAACCACACAGTTATTAAAAACATTTGAAAATGACTAACTGACCAAACAGAAGTTCCACAGACACTGACAGCAGAACAAACAGAAAACACCCATGTGCAAAAAGACACCACTCTTTACAAGTTTTTTTTCATTTTTATTGGTGTACTCTGACAATAACAATGATGGTATAAAAGAAAATCTCCATCATACAAATTTCAAGAATCAAAAGATAATATGCCAATACACTAACAGATCCACATAAGGCTGACATCAAGTTTTGACAAGTGGCTTTGAATGGCTTCAATTCAAGGAGCAATTACCTCCTTTCAATCACAAAGAAATATTTCAGATTTAGGTTTCTGTATCTTTTTCTATATTTAACTTTCATACAAAAAAAATTATCTGGTAGATTTTTGGAGTGAATAGTGTCGCTGGTTTAGGCGCCTGTGTTGACTTGGAGTATTTTGTCTTTCTCTTTTTTTTGGCTGAGAAACTGCTATCTTGCGTTAGTTTCTCTTGACCTCCACCACACCCCAATTACTGTTACGCTTGAAAAGACATTGCATGCAGAAAGAAGGACACTAAACTTCATCAGCTATCATTCGTTCCTCCTACTGCCACAGCATTTTAAATACAGGGGCGGGGAGGGATCTGAAAATGCACAAAACCTTTGAGATCATGAGATGATTCTAAAATTCACTTTGATAACAATGTTTTTTTTTTGTAAGAGAAAAGACAAAAGAAACAAAAAAAACAAAAACCAAACCAGGTTTGTGCTTGGAAGCAATGATGTAAAAACATTGATGTCATTGTGTAAGCTCCGCGAGCACTTAAATGGCACCAGATAAACCCAGAAACAACCCCATCCCAAAGCCTTGTTCTTTATGCTAGCATCTGTAGTGATTTCAGACCTTATAGAACTTCTAAAGCACTACTCACAACATCAATATTTACAATGATCATTTTCTTGATATGCACTTTTTTTCAATTTAAATATTTTTGCTTATAAAAAAAATAAAAACTTGAGTGAAAAAAGTAAAACACTGCAATAAATAAGGAGCTTTAAGGCTGCCAGTTTTGTCAGATGCCCAAAAAAATGGTCCCTTCATTTAAACTGGCACAGAACGGATCGGGACAGGCAGAATTTTGATACAATGAAGCCTCTTTAGTGAGCAGCGGTAAAGGTCTGATGAGACCATGCGTCATATTTTAAATTTTATATGCATGTATGTATACATACATACATAAACATGTATGCAAAATAGGAGCAAGACCTGCCAGTTTATCAATCAAATGGTTTGTTTCTTTAACAGAAGAAAAAATCAGAAATGCACTGACAGATTCACCCATGTTAGTTATCTAGAGGCCAAAGCTTTCTATTAGTTACAAAAAAAGAAGAGTATCTTTTAAATGTGGGGTGGACTGATGAGGCTACTGATTGTTTACTGAGAAATATTGAGCCTAGCGCCAACTCTAAAAGTATTTCGATCATCCAGAGGAACTCTTTTATCAAGGGGTCGCTCACAGTCCAAATCTTCACCTGAACATTCATACTAAAAGCAAATGGCTTTTGCTATGTGTCCATCTAGCTTTTAATTTAAAGCAATGGCATTTTTTTCTTTTTCTAAGTCAATATACAGTGTGTATCTGTGAGTGTCAAAAACCAGAAGAAGAACCTGTGTTTCATCAGTGCTGGTAAACAAAATACAAAAAACTAGAACATTGTTATGGAGGATGGTTAGAGCTATGAGTGGCTAAGCCATTTCACTCAAACACACATGGAAAAGAAAACTTAACACAAATTCTGCTAACGTGGGTTTCTTCCACTGGGCACCTCCCAATTGACCAGCTAGGAGGTAAACACATGCTTCTGCTTGAGGCAGTGACCTGGAGCTACAGATCCACATACAGATGGACTAGTTTTACCTGGCTGGGTGAAAAGGCAGCAGGTTTACAAATCTATGGATGTTGTAACATTAAACATGAACTCAGTTTGATGGATAAACAACAAAAACACTAGTTAAACAGCCGTAAAAGTCAGAAAGATGTTTCGCCTGCGGGCATCGGCCTCTGTTACGTTAAAAATCGGCTCCAGTAAGCATGTGGAGTGGGTCCCTCAGAGGGAGCTTTGGAAGGTCAGCACCACTGATTATCAGTTAGCATAATGGAGGTGACCAGTGAAGGAAAGTGGCCACTAGCAATTTTGTTCTTTTTCTTTTTTTAAAACTCTGTGTCTTTCTCTTCCTGTGGTTGTCACACAAAATGGCCCCCCTCCAACGTGTCTGCTCAGAAGATTAATAACACCAGGGTACAGTACAGGTGCCATTCCAATTCATTACAGCCAGCTATTTGTGTCACTGCATCCAATGAACTGGAACCGCCCCGTTCACACAGACCCGAACCACACTACCCCACACAAATACACACAACAATGTTTCAGTGCATCTAACGCAGTCTGCCATATGTCACTTTCTAAATCATCACATCAACTTCAAGAAAAATAAAAACTGGAAAATTAAGGAAATCAATCTGTCAAATAAATAGAGAGGTCCAGCCTCGTTTCTTCTTATTTCTTTGTGGGAACACAACAGTTTGTCAACTACCCATGTCTCCCGAGAGATACATCTTAAGAAATGCATACAAGGCGATTTGTGTGAAATGAAGTAGCTGCATGACTAGAGGACAGACAGTGAGGAGAGTATGTCTGTATGATTTTTCAAAAAGGATCTACATATACAGTATCGGGATATCGGACTCAAAATTCAACACTGTCAAACACAAGTAAGAGAGGAGCTGCTGTGTATGACCAGAGGCCTGTTGGTCTTTATCAATGCAGTGTTAGGCTGCATGCCACTTAGATTTGAAAAAAAAAAAAGAACAACAACAATAACAACAACAGAAAATCTACACAAATCAACACATCAAAGTTTCATTTACACAAAGAAACTGACCGGCCAAAGTTTGGCGACATGTTCACAAAGCTAATCAGTGGTTATCACCTGACGTATTTAAGCATTCAGACCTGCTTTTGTTTATGCCAGCAAAGAAGCGTCAGTTTAAAAAAAGAAAGAAAAAAAAAAGAGAGAGAGGACAAAGGCAGCCAAAGCTTGGTTGAAGAGACTGAATTTTCACAGCACCCTGTGTGGAAAAGGGCTGGTTAACAGTTTTACAAACACCAGACAATCTGAAAAATAAAGCAAAAGCTTCTGTAAACACCAGTGACAGTGACAGCAATCAAGTATTCTCTACCTCCAGATCTCGTCTGCAAAAATGAAGGTGAGTAAACATTAAGGACGCGGGATCTAAAAATACACCTGCAACTACTTTCCTCTCCCTGGCCTGGATTCGCGCGCTGCACACCGAGTGAGGTCCGTCAGAGACTACGTCTCCTGCGAGTCACCCAGATAACCCTGCACTGATGACAAAGTGCATGCAGGCCATTTGCATAGCTCACCTTCACTCGCACACAGACACGCACGTAGACGCGCATGGGTTCTGTCTCAGGTGGCATGTTTGCTTACGCAAAGTTGAGCTGAATGTGAAGTTTGCATATGCACTCACTCCTTCTTTATAGTTCAATAAGGGTATGCTAGCACCCATGCTATTGCATCTGTACAGTAAGGAAGTCAGGACTAATTTCTGCTGTCTGATATCACAGCTTATTGCTAACAGGATGAGCATTGCACTCCAACATACAGCCACTTGCAGGCAGCCAGAACATTCAATGCAACTACGCAAACACAAACATCACAGTCTTTGAATGGTATGTTCAAAGGACAAAACACAGATAAAGAGATGATTAATTCATATTCTCTGAACTTAGAATAAACTATTTCACATACAATATATAATCTTGTCTTACTATCTCCACTTGTAGATTTGGCATACCTAATGCAGAACCAGCTGCATGAGTCCACTCAGTTGAAGTTGGTGTGTGTGTGTGTGTGTGCATGCAAATGTCTTCACAGGTTTACTGCATTTGAGAGAAAAAAAAAAAAAAAAAGAAATGCAATAGAAAGGTAAGGAAAAAAAACAAAACCAAAGCCTCTGGACCATGCAAGTTCGAGTAGGCCGTGCATTTGTGGCGTGAGTGTGCACTTGAATGTGTGTTATGGCCTATTTTGATAACACTCAGGGCGGTGCTATGCTCGGACGGGAAATGAAGACGACTCAATGAATGGGTGCTGAAGGCCAAAATGGTGCAAAAAGGCATGTGGAGACTGACGTGTAGATAAGCCCAGATGAGAAGAGTGATGAGCTGTGGCACAAATAAGTGCAGCATTATTCCCTATTTTCTTTTACGATTTATCAAGCACACCAATTGTGTCTCCATTTCTTTGTTTCTTTTTTTTTTTTTTTTGCATACAAACAAACGCGCAAAGAAACAAACAAACAAAAGGAAAAAAAAACGCCAAAAAAAAAAGTCAACTTAAGAGTCCTAAGCAGTGCTGCAACTGGTGAGATATGGCTGATGTCCCGGGGGACTTTGATTTCCAGGTCTTTTGCAGTCCAGCTCTGCCCTCCTCAGTAGTCAACTACAGGTGCAAGCTTTCTGCTCAAGCTGACGGTGATGTTGGTATAGAGAGGCCTTCTGGAGATTAGGGGGGAGTAGTTCAGGTTGTTAAGACCGTCCACTTTCTGCCTCTCCTTTGAATGACGAAGCAGACTATACCTGCAAGTACAAACCATCAATCAGAGGTGGAGAGAACGCAGAGGATTCAAAGAAATGTTAAACAATGTGGGGACGCAAGTTCTGCCTTCTGGTCTGTGTTTAGAGAGCGAGAGCTAAGAGGAATCATTCCTCTCAACATTCTAATGGCTGTAATAAAAAAAAAGAAGGCAAGTACGTTTAAGATATCCTGCAGATGTTTTTTTTTTCTTTCTTCAGTCAGTTGTAGCAACCAGCAGGGTTTTTCTGCCCACCCCACACAATTAAAAGAAACATTAAGACCTATGACTGTTGTAAGTCACTTAAGAATTCAGCCTTGAAGCATACGAGCACATCACATGCAAAGTCTTTACAAGAGTTCAAATTCTCTCAAAGTCACCACTCTGGACTTTCATGTGACTGGCTTACGTCACATGAGCCTAAGCCATGCTGCAGTTATCAACTCCAACAGGCTTGTGGGTGCCTTATTTTGTTGTTAAATATAGATGAACACTCACCTTCCCAAAAACTGGACTTCCCCGCGATGGTGATGTGGAATTGACATGTAGCGCCCCTGGTCTCCGTGTGGTCTACTTACTGTATAATTGGCAAACCGCACCCTGTACAAACATATTTAATGTATTTTTAATCCATAGAGTACACAATCAGGCTGAGGAGGCATTGCCCTGATGGCCCTGACTAGTTATATTTCCATAGAGAAGTGCATTATCATATTACAAAGTGTCAAAACCAGGTTATCGATAAATGCAAACACAAACAAAGCAAATGCATACAAAAGGCATTCTGTTTACAGATGGAAACAAATGCATATGTCAATCAGTTACACCCAGGAGGGTATAGTGAAAGCCCTGTATGTGTGCAGCTGCCTGCACGCTGAGGGGGCGGAGGGAAACGCTGCGCAGTGAAGGCAAATGGAGCAAAAAACCAACACAAAAGCCTGTTATGTGCTAACTGGCCTAACTCATCTCGTGAGCATGCCCAAAGTCAACAATGCAGTCAGCCTGGTGTTGCGGCTCTGTCAGACACAACCATGCCTGTGCCCCCGGGTGTGGATGTGAATGCGTTTGCTCCCCCTCACCTGTTCCAGAGGTCATCGTCCTCTCCTCCCCAGCCCCAGAATGCATTCGGAAATCCATTAATCTTTTTGAACTGCTTCACTGTCAGGCCACTGACACCACCAAAGAACTCATTATACGGAAGCCTTGGAGGAACAACCACACATATCCGAGTCATTTTCAGCAGAAATAAAAAGAAAGGTCCTCACTGTGTTCTCCCCCGCAGACAGAATCGGGACTCACATGTAGGAGTACTTGTCGAGTTTGACCGCAAAATGTCGTGGCATGTCTGTACAGCCGTAGTAGTTCCTGTCATTCTCCATCAGGTGGTCCACATCATGGAAGACGAGACAATCCCAGTCCAGGTCTTTCATAGCCTCTTTGTAGCCCACGTTAAATAACATGGCTCGGTTAAATGGTTCTGTACCCCCCTAAAGAACAAAAAAAAACAAGATATTTCCATGGTACTATCTTTATTGGCTACTCTAGTTACTTTCATACATTTAGGCCGACTGCTTATAGTGAGACAGCAATCCATACATATTTTCAAGTGTTTGAAATCACAGAGTGGATTGTTAGTCCCCATGAGCAGCTGTTTATAAGCACGCATACCTGCTCTATGACATAGAAGGCAAACTGGAGTCTCTGCTTCTGCAGCACGGGCACCAGGTGTCTCAGGAGGATGGGTAAGTGTTCATGTCGGTTCCTGAACGGAACTAGGATTGCCACCTAATGATGAGAAATAAAAGAAAATATTAAAGACATAAATAAAAAAATTGGTATAAGACGAAAAAAGTAATTAAAGTGAAGGCACGCAGTGATGAACACCGTCACAGAGTGGTATAACATCCACAGCTCGGCAACTTTACCACATGTTGAAAGGCATTTAACACAGTTCAGCTTAAAGGAGTATGAAAACAGGAATGGGCAGGTAAAGATAGCACTTAAATCCACTTGTAAGTCTAACCATGAAAAAAGCACTCATGGAAAAAAAAAGGCAGGCATGCTTTTGAGATCTCTACAAAGAAACCTGACATCCATCAATCCCAGCAGCACTGAGGCAATAGTACTTTTTCAGAAATGTTTTTCTTTCCCAAACAGTGTTGTAAATATGATAGTGGCCAAAGTAGTCGCATGACTACAGGGGGGATAGAAACAATGAGTCGCTGACAGTCAGTAAAAACACACACAGTCTCCTGTGATGAATGAATACAACTGTTCTACAGAAGAGCTAAAGGGAAGGCTTGTGAAACAGTAATAATAATAAGAGTTAAATATAAAAGAGATGCTGGAGGAGCCTCAAAAGAGCTATGGTGTAGATTCTCTTAGGATCTGTAATTGTTATACAGGTGACAACCGAACTTTAACACTATTCCAAAACCTGCCAGTTTTCAGTTACCTCTTGTAGCCTATACACAGCACTCATGTATTTGTTGCTCTTCTGGCCAGTCTGTGTTCGCCTGTCAGCACACAGTCCTTTTGACAGTGTCTCATCCACACTTACCTTCCAGCGAGGTAAACAGTCGTTGGGCTTCCAGCGGCCACCTGAGGCAATGCTAGGGTGTTGCTCCAGAAAGGATCTTTCCACCTCCTCCAGAGACACTTCGCTCATGTTTACCTCCAACTTGCCCTCTGAGTGTGGAAGGAATGGAAAGTGGGAGGCAAAACAAAAAAAAGATCCAAGATGGAAAGAGGCAGAGAAGGCCGCAGAGTGACATGTGAGAGAAATACAAAGATCAAAGTAATAACACATGACTGAGCTATCTGGGGCTTTATATGGCAGTATTGCACTTTTACGACAGATGTGCGCTGTTGACACCACATATTCAAGCACTCGAAGAACAAATATGGATACAGATACAATGACAGTTGCATTTTACTGCTGCTATATAAGCAGAACTCTTGCATCAAGTCTCAGGAACTTCACAAAGGATGAAAGCCAAAGTTCAAACCACAACCTTAACAGTGTACTCACTCATGGAAGGCAGCTTCTCAGGGCAAACCTGTGATGGGAAGTATGTGAAGCCCTCGGGGAGGTATGTGGTGGGAGGAGTATCGCTCTCGCTGAAGTTGAAGTCATATGAATAATCTAGAATGAGATCCAGTGAAAAGTGTGAACATGCCTCTGCTGTTTTCCACCTTTACCTCCTTCCAGCGGTGACTAGCTTCAACCACCTCTGTTTGAATCATGCACTGATCTCAAAAAGACCTCTACATTTCTTACCTGTTCCATTCATGCTGTAAGCCCCTCTCACCACTTGCTCCAGAACCTGGGCCCCGATGTTCTTCACATTCTCTCTGATCTGGATGCCTCTCGCTTGGACCATGAACACATATTCATTCACTGTGGACAAAGAGAGGAAGATAAAAAAAAAGTGAGCCCTCCTAGCACCACAAACACAATGTCACAAACTTCTGGTATTGACAAATCAAACAATCAAACAAAAAAACAGAAACAAGCTTGACAAGAGCTGTTGAAAATAATGTAAGTTATTCTTCAACTTCAGCCCAAAACACTCTCACTCACTCTGGCCATGCAGACCAGAGGATTAGTGTGGACTCTAGAGTAAGCGCACATTTTTACTCGAGTGGGCACAAACTGATTGAAGCTGAACTGGTGACTCAGTGAGGGGAATTTCCCCAACCTCACTTCTAGGAGAGCTCAGCCTAAAAGAATAAAAATGCTGGAATGTTAATCTCATTTGGGGTGTGTGTGGGGAGAAGAGGGGGGTTATGAATGGTTATAGCCTTCTTTGCATGATAATGGCCCCTGTTTTGTTTCATGGTACTAAACCATTTTCAGTCATTAGACACTGCGGTACAGATAATGGACTGTTTTCTTTGATAAATGTGTACGTAATGGCGAAAAAATGAAATTGCGAGCGGGAAGAGTGAACACGGGAAAGCAGAGTAAACGGATGAGTCACAAAGCGGAAGCAGTAAAAAATAAAAGCCTAAAATAAAAAAGAAGTATAAAATCTTCAGTAGTGTTTTTTTTTTATATAAAAATATTCACAAAAAGAATCAGACACACTGAAAAAGAAGAACGGGCACCGGCCCCCTGCATGCCTCTACTACAGAGGAAATGTTCAAGTTCCATTACAAGCGCTCAGTATGGGGGGTGGGGGGCAGCAGGTAACATTGGTGGTCATCAACTGGGACAGTGTGACCTACATAACTCTACAAGCAGCGTTCATCAAGCCAAGAAAGAGCCGAGCAATCCAACAAAAAAACAGAAATGCGGTGAGACTCTGACTCACCCAATAGGCTGAAAACGTTGGGAAACCACAGACACCTACACTCCACTGACTACTCGTACACTTGCAAGTAAAAAAAAAATACAAAAATACAAGCGCTCATTTTCCACTGCGGTGTCACACAGTCAAGATTCTTGATGTCTTGATTGAGGGTAAAGGGAAAAGCAAAAATACTGGAACAGCATTCAGGATCACCAAGATGTAATGGGGCTGTTTTTGGGGTTTTTTTTGGGGGGGGGGGAACAGCACTTGTACATTGGGCTTTCTCAGTGATGGATCACCGTCTTTGTGAATCTGTATCCAGCTGCACAATCACCGGCCATTAATTCAATCAGCATTTATCTTAAAGCAATCCCAGTATGATCCGCTGTCCTGCGTACAGCAGAGTGCACGGAGTGTGTAAGTGTAATTCGGCTGAGCTCGAGATCCAAGGGATGTGATTTGTCATTAGTAATTGTATTACAGTTTCCATCACATTAATCTTATTTTATACAAACTGCCAGGCTTGCAGGACTAGAGACTAGTGGCTAAGCGGTAGATGAAATCAATGTTCTCCTTTCACCTCGGCAGCACACAAATAGCCCAGTGCAGCCAAGGCCAATCAGCAAAAAAATGATGGTCATAAAAAACAAACGAGGAAACAAAAAAGACTCACAGAGGTGATCCTAAGCACTCAAACATGCACCGCACACATGTGTGCCCTAATGCTGACACACAAACATAAACATGAACCCGCTGATGCCCTTCTGAGACACCATATGATGGAAAAATGCTAAGAGGCTTCTGGAGTGTGACCCAGTGCAGGCTCAAATTTATCCTGACATGTCTTATTATCGTGCCTGCCAAGCATATGGAGGCCTGTATATTTCCCTAGCAGGGCAAATCCAACCTACATACAATGGATGCTGTGTACTGAAGTACAGCGAAGCCAAGGCAATCTGAATCAAACTCTTGTAAGATGTCACAGAATATTTTGATCTGCGTTTCCAGTAAGTCGGTGCGGGGTTCATTCGGGAGGCAGGACGAGAAGAAATGCAATCCAACCTGGCACGCACAGACACGAAGACGGCCCACCCTTCTGCCGCGCACAAGGGCAGTGGGCATGGGATTTCTCTCACATTAAACATGCTCTCCAGACGGCGTAATGGCTAATGCTGAGGTATTCCAGGCAACAGACTGACAAATGCAATCAGACAGGAGAGACCTGGACTTTGGAGTCGACCGACATAATGGGCAAGAACATTACGTTATGCTGTGTTGTGTCCAGCTATTAGCAGTGGACGTGTAAGTAAAGAGGAAGCAGCGAGCACACAGATAAAACACATCCTCATAGCACTTCACCATGCCATGGCCCGCACATTAGCATGCTATAGATGGACCAATAGATTGGAAGGACCCCCTCGCCAACCGCTGGAGCGCCTTATCATATAAACCCACCCCCAACAGCCACTGTAACCCGTCAAGCATGACAGGGGACCTTGAACGACCGTGACTTCCAGCAGCCCTCACAGAACATGTTGTCCACATGCCAAGCCCAGCCCACCTCTCCGCATCTCGCTTTGCTTCCACATTTTCTCTCCCTTTCCACCCATCGGTCCTCCTCTCCATCTTCATCTTCCTTCACGGCCTCTGCGCTGCCGTCTCTGTTTAATGTGCTTCGTGTCACGTTCTGCCAGATCATTTGTTCCTATCGTTTAAGGGAAAAATCTGAAGGATGGATTGCGGGCCCGCGAGGACTCTGTGTTCATTGCATTGCAGTATGAACGTTAATAAAAAAAAGACATGGGCGACGAGCTACAACAACAACGACAACAACAACAACAAAAGATAGAGAGAAAGACAGGAAACGAACACATGCAACCCTCCCTCTTTTCCTCTGCAAGGCAATTAACTCCACATTGATAGTTCAGCAGTGGGAGGTGATCGGTCCCGTTCTGCTGGCTCCCTGATAAGAGCTGAAAGGCGTTTTTTTTTCTTCTTCTTCTTACCGCAGAAACGCTTTCTGAACACACAACCCACTAACTCTCGTAGCCCCCAGGGTTTAAAGCTGTCACTCTCAGTGGGTCAGTTTAATGCGGCAGCCTATCAGTGACACCCACAGAGCCACACATTCATAAAAACACCCGGTTAGCAGGACTCCGGGGGCACGCGGGCGCCATATAGCAGTGAACGCCAAATGTGTCCCGGGTTTGAAATTTCTGGCAGCTGAAAAATTACACTATTTGCAATTTAACACGTTATGCTGCCATCATGTGACTTAGCAGAACCTTACTGGGAAGTAAAGAGGCCATTAAGCTAAGCATAAGCTGTCAATCATTCACAATTAACCAGAAAAACTAAACCAGTTTAACTAGATCGATCTACTGAGCGTGCCCGAGTCATGTTAAAACAAGCTGAGATTCTCTCTTATTTAAAAAGAAAAAATGCATGATAGTGCATTCGTATTTTTTGTGATCACGTCGTTCCCCTCTGTGAGCCTTTGCAAGTGACACAGAGAAACCTAGAGGCTAAAACAGATCAATACTCAGGTTCAATGCAAACAGAATGGAAACCTATTACAGAATCATGTTCTAAACAGTCACTTTGGAAACCAAACAAAAGAAAAAAAATCTAAATCTACCTGAACATTAACTACTACTAAAAAAAAACCTGACTATTTTGGTATGAACTGCTGTCTTCCTCGGCTCATTTGTGCACAAGGCCGTGGATAACCCTGTATGTAGAGCAGTTTCCTGTTGGAGCACAGATGGGTTTATAAGTTATATCAGAGAGAAACGGGTAGATAATCTATCCGTTGCCACCGTACATCAGCCAAACCTCCTTCGCTTTCACATACGGGAAACATGCGGAGACCTTTTCAAGAGTCTTAGTGGCTCATTTTTCTTGCAACTCAAGCTCAGCAGCTGGTCTTTACCAGGGAAATTCACGCAAATAATTTTGGTAAAGTGTACCAGCTAAGCTGTGACGTTGGCCCGGCTATGGGGAACATCATTCTCCTCCACGGAAATTCTTTTGTACCAAAGTATTTTCACAGCTTTAAGTAGAGGGTGGTGGAGTCAGGAAGTCTGAACGGCTCCCTTTATAAATGTTTGACTTGCTGATTAGGCATCATTTGTGCTACAATTTTGGCAACACTGGCATTCATGCAGAAAAGGGGAAACTTTAGGTTACGTAAGCATGCAGCAGTGTCTACACTCTGCTGGGAAACTTTGGTTCCTGCTATTCATGGATGTTCATTTTATTCATACAGAGGAAAGTGCTAAAACTCTGCTGCAGGCGAGGGTTCTCCTATCCAGGCCCCAGTGGCTCGCAGCTGTTTTGGTGGCACATGGAGGTTCCCAACTTTGCAGGAGGTTATATAATATGTTTAATCAGTGTATAGCAGAGTTGAAGTGTCATTACCGTGTCCTATCTAAAGCGTGAGTTTGAGGGAACAAACCTGTTTAAGGCCGCTGCTGACGCTTGTCAGCTAAAGTAGCTGTGCTTTACTTTCGCAGTGTTGTAGTTCATAATAAGGCTGTTGTTCACAAGATAATGGTTCTAACTACGCTTGAAGATTTTAATCATAGGAAATAGACGCAGCGTCACCTGCGCCTATCGCGATAGCACCATTCAAATGTTGCTAGACAGCTCTAAACAAAGGTTGTAGCCAAAAATACAGTCACCCGTATTTGGCTATATAGAGCACGACTGAGTTAAGCAAAGGTGTGGAATCAGTCCACAGTTAGTGCTGATGGTGTTCACATTAGTCAGACGTGTTTCACTGCTGTGAAAGCGGATAACTGGAGGGGAGATTTTTTGGACCCACCAGGGTGCAGCCAGCCTCTCACCCATTGACCACTGGGTTAGGCATTTTTTGGCTGATGTAAGCAAGACAAGCTGCAAATGAAAAGCTCCTTTTTTGCCAGTTTCCTGAAACACCCCAGCACAAGCACGAGCAGCTGCAGCTGACACCGAGGACAGAATTGGTTGAGTGTAAGTTATAATCACATGATCCTCACAGTCAAGTGGATCATGAGGCTTCCTCCAGACCCACAGCTGCACTGCACACACGCTCTCAGATCGCAGCCAGAGTGTGGCGGTCTGC